GAGTCACATAGATGTTTAAAGAACAGAAGACAGAATCATGTTTTGTGGGACTCCCTCAAGTCTGGTGAGTGCTCTGAAGTAAAGGAGCACTTTCCCAACACCACACTTTGTGAGCATCCTAAAAGGAAGGACCAGAGCTATTTCAGAGACTTCCCATCAACACCTACTATGTCTCCAAGACAGGACAGTAGTTTGCCATTATCAGCACTGCACACAGATCCAGAGGGATGAGTATGAACATCCTCCCTCTGTCCATGGGCAGGGAAAGTGCCATAAGCATGAAGAACACTTTCTCTGTCCCATGACTTGGACTGAACCTCATTTGGCAAAGATCCATAATATTGGTGTGGATAGGAATGTTTAAAGATAGTTCTTTGCCAGCTTCCCAGTTATCTTGTTCAAAAATGGGAGGCTGGATACCAGGTGGTATTTTGTAATCTTTGGACTAACCAAACCTTATACAGCTAGACAGTAGCTTTAAGGTGAAAAAGTAGCACTGACACCCTCCATCAGTAGAGATCCTGGGTGTTGCTTTCACCAACAATATGCACCAGTCTCAATCACAGATAGTGAAAGATTTCTATCAGCGCTTTTACAGTGTCTTGCTCCATAAATGTACCAGATGCCACGGGGCAGCGAAGAGGTTGTGTGTTGTCCGTCTTATATTTTGTATATAGCTCCTGCTTCCAAACATGGCTTCATGCCTCTTGTGAAGGTGGTTTCCCAGCCAGATGGTTGATTCAGAAGAGAAAATCTTACTATTGCAATTGTAGCTCTGGGTGCAGCTGCTATGTATTCTGGGAAGTTAAAGGCAGGAGTAGATGCTAGAAAGAGGCTCTGACTTTTTAAAAGCCTGCCAGAGGTGCTGATGAGTATCATCATCTCGTTACTCTTGAGGAAATATATGAGAGACTCTGTAGGAGGGCACTCCTCTTGATCAATAAATTAGTTCATAGTCTCCATAACACAGGAGGAATGACCAAAAACATCACAACGCTACACAATACTGGAAGTCTGCTTTTTCTTCTGTTAATACTATCATATTATGAAGTGATTCATGTTTCCCATTTCTTCCATTTTAGATCTTGATCTCTGAATGGTGTAACTTTCTGTACTGAGTGTATGTTTCTCTTAGCCAGTTCTTACAATACTTTGAACTAAAATTAAAACAGACATCCTGTGGGTTACAAACCATTTTGTAGTACCATGGCTATGTGTGCTGTGTCTCAAAATATACAAGATAAGGGAAACATCTCAGAGTAATGAAGTCCATTAAACAGAACCAAAATGTTAGCGCCCTCTGTTGAGTAGATGCCATTACTATAACATCTAAATAACTTAAAGTTTAGATGTGTAATATCTAAATAACTTAAGTGCAAAAGATGGATGGATTGTACTGAAAATTGGAGGGAAAGGTAACAAAGAGCTTGCAAAAAATATTTTCACCCTAAGCCAGGAAGGTACAGAGAAAAATAGGGAAACAGCTAAGCTCACAAAAAAATTGTTTAGGGAAACAGAGTATTCAAGATAATCTTGTAGCAACACAGGACAGACTAACTGAAGTTAGAGAGTTTAGGAAGAAAAGTAGTCCATCTCAAAAGTGATACATCAGATTGAGTGAAAAACACTGAAACAGAGGCAAGATTACACTAATATGCATTAAGCCTCACAACAGATGTGATATAAGTAGGGAATATTATTCAAGTAGTAAAAAATGGGGTACACAATCTGTATTATACTCAACCTCCATCTAAAAAATGGAGGTTCAAATTTCATGATAGCTTGCAAAAAAAAAAAGGTAATTATGTCTATCCATTTAAATATATAGAAAGAAATCATTAAGATTCACAAATACTTCGATGCATATATACTGTGCTTTTTTCTGGTTTATGAAACAATAGGAAGCCACAGTTCAGTCTTGACTTTGGTAGTTAAATATACTTCAAAAAACAAACAAACAAACAAAAGTTATTCCCACTGAGGTTATTCCCATCCAAGGCTTTTTCGTATAATAAGTTTGCTCTTGTATTTAAGGAGACTTGTACAGAAGGGGTTCATAAGTGCTTTACCCATTAGCTTTCTCTCAAAGAGCTTTGAAGTGAAAACATAATTATCCCACTTTTCTTCTTCCCCAGATTTTGCCCATCGTTTTGGTAACTTCAAAGATAGCTACTAAAAATGGCCACAAGTCACATTTTTCTTGTGTCCTGCATTAGCACAGCACATCTCTCTCTCATACGCACAATTTTGAAGTGTTATTGCCATCTTGCTGAAGTACAAGTGCTGGCAATAGACTTTTTCAGTCCCAGTTTGAAGAGGGGCAGCAGATAACCCAGACTGACCAAAATGGACAGACTTATTTGAAGGGTGGGTGTGTGTTTTTTTCTTTGAAGGGAAAGACAGTGACCTTGTATTAATTACCTAGTCTCATCCAAAAAATTTCTTATCAATTTCCAGTGAAATGTAGCACCATACATCATCTTTTCAAGTATCAAAAATTACTAGACAGCACTTATGTAATTGTCCATTACACAGAAGACATCTCCCTATGCGTTATAATAATCAAGTTAAAAACAAGCATATAACTAAACAAATATGTCCAAGAGAAGAAGGCAACTTCTGTTATGGATGACAAACTAATTTACAAGAAGTTCAAACAGAAGAGATCCAGAAAGAAGGAAAAATAAAATATTAGAATACCCTCTCAGTTTTCCATGTGGCACTAACATGATTTAGCAAATACTAAGTTGAGGAACACAGCTGATTAAATGGTCTATGGGGGGTAAGTAAATAGAAATAGGGAGACACAATATAGTGCAGTGACTTGAAAGCTAAAATTAATATTGTGGTTGAAAATGGGAGCCTATCTAAATTTTCCAGAAGGAGTCTTATGCTGCTAATTGAGAGATGGCTTCAATATGAATAACTAAGGCTATCCCAAGACAACCCCTCATATGTCTGGTAGCTAGACAAAAGGAAAGTTAGAGGCTCTTCTTACAGTGACAAAAATATGCAGCCAAAGTAGTAGCTTTAAAAGGGTTTTGATTGTTTCATTTGCTCGCATTACTACTTAAAGTAAGTTGCCCATTACATTCAATATTCCTTGTTATAAGAACACCACACTGTGTGTTTTCTACTCCATACATTGTTAGTTAGAAACATCAGTAATAAATTTCTGAATCAGAACTTGTTTTCTCTTAAATGCTTGTGGCCGATTATTCTAAATGAAGATGCATGAAGCCCACATAATACAACTTAATATATATAAACTTGTTGAAGTAAACAAACATGAGCTAGAATACACACAGGCCAGAACAGAAAAATCAAACATGTGACCTAGACATGGGTCCAAGCTGCAGAGATAAAAAATGAATATAGATTGAAACAGAACATTACAAAAAAACTGAGGTGTTTAGATTCAGCCCCATCATCTCTAGTATAAAAATATTAAATAAGCTACCTATTAAACAAACGCAATTCTTAAACTATTACACATATTCCTATTACAAACAATGCAACATGATACAGTCTTGAACAGTGATTTTAGAAAGATTTTCATTAAAGTTTAATATTTTCTAGAAATAAAAAAGTCCGAAGATAGCTGTAGACATAGTTTAAAACTATTAATGTTTACATTCAAAATTTTATATGTAAAAACTGAAAAAATGAATGGGACATCATCTACCTACTTACTCCACTTGCTGTACAACCGTAAATAAAAACAAGTATCTAATTTGTTCTTTAACACATTTCACACTATGCACAGTTCAAAGCTCTTTAAAATTTGTACTCACCAGCTCAAGAAAACTAACAAAAAACAGCATTAAGAAACTAGGGGTTTTTTGGTTTTTTGTTTGTTTGTTTGTTTTTTATAAACAAACAGAGTATACATGCACATTACCAGGTGATTTTATCAAGGAGCTACTGAGAAACTATCCTGAAGTTGTTTAAATAGGTATAGAATTTTAGGACAGATTCCAGCTCTTTCAACCTTCCCCATGGATCACTGGCAAGGTGAGGAAGTTATGCCCAATAAGTCACGACAGTAACATTTTGTCTCTGTCTTTCAGTCCAATTCCCCCTTCAGAAAACCAAAAAAGTTTGTTACTGTACCCATCCACTATGAATTAGTCTTAGTTTTGTTAAGTGTAAGAAAACGTTATTTATTACCATTTTTATTAATGGGTTAGAATACCAGCAGTAAGTTAACAGAGTCTTAATTTCACAGATACAGCAAAAAGGTTGAAGTATGAGAAGTAGCTGAGGCTCTGGATCGGTCTCGAGATTCAGGAAAATAAATGTTAATTTATATTCCATTCACACTGAGAAGGTTATCTTCAAAAAAGTATGGCCTAGAATTTATTTTAACGAAACTGAATATTTATTCAAACTACTATCACAGGTCCCTTTGCTTGCCAGAGATAAACTTCCCACTAACTAGTGGGAAAAGAGTGATTTTTTTCAAACCTCAGAATATGTAGTCTTCACATATTCTAGCCCAGGAAGCATACAGAGCATCTTCAGACAATAGCTGTACATGCAAGTTTAGGCTGGCCAAAGAGTCTTAAGCTGTTGCTGGTGAGCTATTTTAGGTAAAAACTATACAATCCTCTATGTGTGTATGAGTATTATATATGTAATTTGTAACTACTATATTAAAATGCTTCTGCACTTTCTAGAAGAGATTAGTGATGGCAGTACACTATTTTGAAACCACCTTTTACGTTACCAGTTTGAAAAACCAGTAAACATTAACTCTAAAAGTACCGAAGCCTACAAAAATATAGATATAAGGCAACTCTAGTTCAGTAAATTTAATCGGGCAAACAACTTAGATTTATTTTTTAATCTTGCTTCAATAATGTATATTTAAGAAAGCGTTTTGGAAAAGTGCAAAGAGATCCCATTTTAACCTACTCGTGTATTGCCAGATGTGCAGCTATTGTAAATCTCATAAATATTAAAACACAAGTTCAAATAAGTTGTGAAAATGCACTTACTTTTATTGTAGCAGGTTGCTAGCACACCTTTATCTGCAGGACTGGCACTAATGTGCCAAATTTCACCCACTTCATGGATGAGAACATTTTTGTTTATAATGTTATTTTCATCATCAAAATCTATTATGTGAATCTACAAATACAATAAAAAGATAACATTAGGGCTCCACTGTTTTCCTATGGGTCTTAATTATACATGATGACAGCACAGAACCATGTAATATGAGTTTTATGACTGATATCTACTTTAATTAATTGTTATACTAACAATATAACTCTTTAATTTCATACAGGATATTTTCTCTAAAAAAAGTGATTATCTAATTGTGAAGAAATCCCTTTTGTTTTTTTTCCCTGGTGTTGCAACTACAGCATACAACTGCATTTTCCATTTGATGGTTAACAGAAAATGAGCTACTAGAGCCCTAAACTTGCAGCTCATCACTTTGCTAGCATTCAAACCCTCCATTAGATGTCTAAGATAATTCTGTATCCAGATCAACAGAAATGAATCTCCCTTAAATGGATAGGAGGAGGGATTATTAGTAGATGTAATAGGAAAATTGATGCCCTCCTAGAAGTTTTTCAGCACTCTCTCTTCAGCTATTGTATATACATCTGCACTTATCACCGACATCAGGAAATCTGTCACCATTTAAAAAATTGACATGGAAAAAAAATTCAACCTTTCAACTTAGAATCTAGCCAATTGTTTATAAGTTTTAACAAGTGGTTTCAGGTGTTACTCACAAACCTCCCCCTTGCCAATTTTTTCTTTTGTTTTATAAACACTTTTCCCTATTTTTAAAAATTAGCTTTATTTCCTCAGCTACCATGTGGAAGACTCACACAAAAAGCAGGGGAAACGGACTACGACTGCCCCCGAAAAACACTTAACATGCATGAGTAACTTTACCCATGCAAGTAAGCCCTATCAGAGGTTCAACAACAGAACCCTCTGCATGGCGAAGAAAAGAAATTAAACTAAGACATCCTATTCCCTACTATTAAATTAGATCATACTAAAAGCTTAGCCACACAGTGCTGTAGGCAATTTTTTGAAGTGTCAATGTGCTAGATAGAACCAATCAAGCCAGTTTTAGGATTTGTTTAGTTTTGCAGTACTGAGTATTCCCTTCACTACTAGATGATCTTGCTCTCAATCCATCAACTCCCAACCATAGCAAGGGATATATCCTCTAGTCTCGTTCATCTCAAATTAGTATTCATCTTTTCCTCACTCTCTTCAGTGCTGCCATCAGCAATTACTTTCTTAAATTGGACTTTGGTTCCCGATACTAGTACCATACTCCTAGTCTCCTGTCAGACTCTAAGACATCTAAGAATCTAAAATGCTCAAGGAGCCATCTCTCTCCAGTCATCATCTGATGACCCAAACCATGAATCCATCTATGAAGCGAAACATTATTCATCCCCTATACCAAGGCATATCCATCTTCCTGTCCAATTTAAAGTGACCCTCTCCCTTTCAAAATATTGTCCCTGGTTTCACATTACCTTAACTCTTGCTTGAGCATAATCTACTCTGCCAGACCCTACCTTGGCCTCCGCTACATCCTGTTCCCACAACTGCACATTATGACTTGTGCTGCCTCATCTATAATGATTTCTCCCTCATTTCATCTTTGTACCTGACCTTCAGGCCTTCTCTTTGTAGCTCTTGTCAGTCTCTGTAAAGCATGTTGTGAGACTCTTTATCAAAGGTAAAATGCATACTTGTACTGGATAAACTTACAATTCCAACTATTTGCAGACAAACTGGGAGCAAAATACTGTATATATTAATTTGGGACGTGAAGATAAAGAGAAGACAATAGCAATGGACACTGGAATTAGTCAGTGGAAGAATTCCTTCCTTTTATAACTCTTTGGCCTACAGTACCTCTACACAGCCCCAAAGTAAGGACTGAAGGGCAATTCCTATTATTCCTGCGACGTGAATCTTTTACAATTGCTTCTCAGTCTTACATCCCTGAGACAGTGTATTTGCCACTGAATGCATCCGATGAAGCTCACGAAAGCTTATGCTCAAATAAATTTGTTAGTCTCTAAGGTGCCACAAGTCCTCCTTTTCTTTTTGCGAATACAGACTAACACGGCTGCTACTCTGAAACCTGAGACAGACAGGATACCTCCAGTTCACCATTTCAAGTAAGAGAAAGATATATAGCAGGATGTTTAGAATGTGAGAATCACTGTACTATCCTGCATATGGGATAAAACTTTATGCCTATGCTGCAGCATGCAATACATCAGTCCTGCCTGTTTGCATCTTTTCCCTACTCTCAGCTTCCTCAAAAAATGTGAAACCTTCCACTGAAATTATTAAGTAGACTCCTTGCAGTGCAATTCGTTCCCTAAAGAAGAACTACAAATCAAAAATCCATTTACTTCAACAATGTGTATTATATGTCCCCCATTAACCAGGGTAAGTGGGTCATTCAGCACATGAACCTAAAGAATACCTTTTACCCTTATATAAGGCCCTTCAAAGTCATATAGACAGTTTCTACTCTGCTGTGAACATTCTGCTTCAGCTGATCTCACAGCTACCAGGTAACTTTGCAGAAGCGAAGAGTCAACTCATGCAGGTTGAGGATAAATCCTTGATTAAAATAAAATTTCACATTTGACAAAAGGTTATTTATTTTTATATCCTTTTGGTGTAGGGAAAAATATGAAATATCCTTCCTTGGTAGCTCTGACATGCATCCTAGGTACAAGAAGAGATGATACAGTGAAGTGTGAACATGTTGGCCTGCTGTAAGTAAGAAGGGAGGGGGCTTAACAACGGAAAAGAAATATTTTCTCTCCACGGTTTTTGTGCTAATGTTCTTCTTAGCCTGGCCATTGTGAGCATTCAGCACATATTTCTAAAGCTGATGAAATCTTGTTAGTTCTTCTGTCATTCATATTTAGTATTTTCTTCAAATACATTTGGGCCAAATTTATACTTAACATAATCCGATGCCATAACGGCAAATAAGACAGACCACCTCATATCACACTCTCATATGGGCTTCAACTCTGAAATGTACTAATCAATGTTGTTCAAGACAGACATCAAAGATCACCTAGGATGCATGTCACAGCTACCAAGGAAGGATATTTCATATTTTCCCTACACCAAAAGGATATAAAAATAAATAACCTTTTGTCAAATGTGAAATTTTATTTTAATCAAGGATTTATCCTCAACCTGCATGAGTTGACTCTTCGCTTTTGCAAAGTTACCTGGTAGCTGTGAGATCAGCTGAAGCAGAATCTTCACAGCAGAGTAGAAACTGTCTATATGACTTTGAAGGGCCTTATATAAGGGTAAAAGGTATTCTTTTGCTTTATGTGCTGAATTATTATTGTTCCTACACTTTTAATATAAATGTTACAAATTAAGTGGTTTTCTGTTTTCAGTTAACCTTCTGTAAATACCTACATTTCTTCAGCTGCAAAGCTGTTTTCGAACCTCCTACCTCCATAAATCAGGACAGCTCTAGAACTAGCTCTCTTCTACAACACACCTTTATGTGACTTGAAACAGAACAAGAGATTCTGCATATATTGATGCTATTTGAAAAACCCTCCTGACTGTATAGAGCCTCATTAGAAGTCACAGCACCAAAGGTGCCAGCCAGCTACTAAAGATAGGTCAAGTAATGGGAAAAAAGTGGTGCAGAATTAAGCAATAATGATTAAGGCCTATAACATTTCTTGGGGATTAATGACTAGCTGGGAGAAGATGATAGCATGAAGCACACCCAAGTGCCATTAACCACAACTATTTGTTAATAGTCAGCTAAAAGCCCTGTACCTCTAATGTTAGTTCTATTCCCTTGAAAAAGAGAAAAAAAGTCAGATAGTGAAAAAAAGTGCTTGATGCAGGGTCAACATGTACCTACCCGGTTAGAGTAAAGAATTAGTAGTGCCCACGGTCACCTTCTCAGAACCATGTCAACATTTCCCTTTCAGTAAATGTTAATGATTTGAAACTCATTGGATATTAGGTGACAACTAGAAGCTGACTTCGTCCTTAAAAACTAGTAATTAAATCCTCTGCTAAATACTCCGTGAAGTCAAAGATAGTTTATCCTAGGCACAAAATTACATGTAATTACCTAGTTAGTATAAAACACCTTCACAGTCAATAGTTAATCTTCAGGCATTTCACTATCTGAGATATAACAATGAAAAAAAGTTTTGCTCCTTGGTTTTTTTTAAACTAAATTTTTTCTGTAAGTCATTTTCTTCTCCCTCTGCCAACCATAGCTTATAAAGATATATAACACTGCACCCAGATCTTTATACCTTGAACAGCTTCTCTTCTTATTATTTATACACCATGTGCTTTCCCCTCTCCAAAACTCAGTTTCAGGTAGCTTTCCATTGCTAACTTCAGCTCCAGCACTATCTGTTCTCCCTTGCATGCTAGGTTATATTTAACAGGAGAAAAACAAAATAATCTGAATTTTGAAAATACTCTAGGAACATTGATCCCTTCCCTACATTTTCTATCGCAGGGGTGGGCAAACTATGGCCCGTGAGTCAGATCCAGCGCCTCAGGGCTTTGGATCCAGCCCACGGGACTGCCAGCCCCGTGGCACCGCTGACCCCACACCAGGAATTGGCCGACACCACGTCTCTGCGGCCCCCATGGGAGCAGGGGCAGAGGGCTCTGCGTGCTGCTCTTGCTTGTGGGTACCTCCCCCGAAGCTCGGTTTGGCCAGGAACCAGAAACTGGGGCCAATGGAAGCTTCGGGGGAGGTACCCACAGGTAAAAGCAGCACACGGAGCCCTCTGCCTACCCTTCCTGAGGGGCTGCGGTGCCGGCTGCTTCCTGGAGCAGCGCAGGGCCAGGGCAGGCTCCCTGCCTGCCTGCCCTGGCCTCAGTGCGCGCCGCTGCCATCCCAGAGCCACTCCAGGTAAGCAGTGCTGGGCCGGAGCCCGCACCCCAAACCTCTCCTGCCCCTCGCACCCCAAACCCCTGTCCTGAGCCCCCTGCTGCACCCTGCACCCCAACCCCCGGCCCTGAGCCCCCTCCCACACTCTGCACCCCTCCCTGCACCACTGCCCTGAGCCCCCACCCCCTCGTGCACCCAACCCCCTTCCCTGAGCCCCCTCGTATGCCCTGCACCCCTCCTCTGCCCCAACCCCTTGCCCTGAGCCCCTTCCTGCATACTGCACCCGCTCCCACACCCCACACTCCCTCCCACACCCCAACCCCCTGCCCAAGCCCTACATTCATGGCTAATTTCCCCACCCAGATGTGGCCCTCAAGCCAAAAAGTTTGCCCACCCCTATTCTATCGTGTCTCCTCAGTCTCCCACTCTTGGTATGTTTTTATTTTTCCATCATATTCTCTGTCAATTGGAAGGAGTAAGCTTTTCAGGGCAAAGGTCTGGTTTTCATACTACAGAGTGCCAATGTGACTGTACGAACAAACAAGGTGAAACTGCTGTGTTTGCTATGCCATTATGGATGCTGTGTTCAGTGGTTAAACTGAGGTGGAAGGTGGTGGTACTGTTCCAACCATATGAACCACCAAAGTGAAACGCTGCTCACACTGGATTGTACAGCTTTTCAAAATATGATTGTGCATGCCCTCTGAACTCAGCTCCCCATTGACAGAGCTTGACTTTGTCCATGCGCTCTGCTAGGCTCCTTGGGCTCAGCTCCTTCTTGACTGGCTGGGGGGAGGGAGGGGAACATCTCTCAAACTCAACACCTACTAGTAGCACCAAAATGAGAAACAGAACATGAAAAACAAAACAGTTCATGTTGACATTTAAGTTACTACTGGGCATCTGAGACAAAACTTCACTAAGATGAATGGTGATGAGCTTCTGTTCCAGGCTCTCTCCTCTCTCTAAACATCTTTATGTCATTTATACCCTTCACATTTGAGTTTTCTTTGCAATCATAACAGCTAGAGATTGACTTTTAAAAAAAAAAAATGAAAGCTGAGATTCTGGAGAATAAGATAGAAGCTTGAGAGAAGTGTCAGCACACTACAGCACCATGCACCTCCTGAATCCAAGCTCTGTTTGTGCGCTAAAGGTATTAGTGAATAAATACTGTTTCTGAAACTATTCTAATGTGAAAAGTCAGTGACTGTACTAACACTATGGGTTTTTTAATCTAGTTTAGGGCTCCAGCCTGCCATTCAATATAAAGGCTTATCCTAAAGTTAATCTTATAAAAAGTCAGTTATTTTACTTTTACAAGGAAAGATTGGACAAAAAAGATGGCTGTGTATAGGCTGTACGTCACTGTAGCCTTTACTCCCTGCAGAAACACAGTGATGGAAGTTTTATGGATATTCACAGGCAAAAAATGAAGTTTGTCTACAGCTCTATTCCCATGAGCCTATTACCTACACATACATGTCTTTAAGGAGTTCCACTGAAGTAAATCATGAGGGCCTAACTACAATTTCAAAATGGAAAGCAGGATTTTATTTTAATTGGGTTACCTGTTCTGCAGTTTAAACTGGTTCTACAAAATCAAAAGCAGAACTTAGTAATAGAACTGGTCAAATAATATTTGTTAAATAACTCATTTGATTCATTTGTAATTTCTCTCAAATAAGTTATGATAAACATTTTTAATTAATTATTCACCAGTCTTAGAAAATGGGGCGACTATGAAATTATATTAACCTTTTAAAAAAAAAAAAAAAAGACTTCTCATTCACCTAACTAGTTATCAAAATGTGTACATTTTGTTCACATAATACATTTTTTAAAATAAAGCATCTAATGCTCAAACTTGGCAGGAAAGTGAAGTAATAGACCAGTAAAAAAAGTTAAAGAATATTCCTGATACTTAACATGTATTATTCTGACAAAAGTTTACCTGATTATCATATTTGAGAGACTGTGTCCCAACCAAAAATCGAATGGCATCTGTTTCTGCTATCTGGGGTGTTAAAGCACGTGCCTAGCAAAAAAGAAAACCATTATAAAAATACAATGCAATACGTTATTGATAATTTGTGAAAAATCTTGGAACATAAAAGACATCCCAGTTGATCACCTTGAGCACCAAACTTTTACACTGCATCTTTCTCCTGAACTTTATCTGTATTTAGGCTATTTATCTAAGTTTTCTAGTGTAAGGATTGCTTCTCACATCTGTAAAGTACCTACTATACTCTCAGCGCTAAATAAATATGGACATATTTATTTATTTTTAAAAACCACGATTCAATGTTAAGGATTTCTCCCAAATTAATTATTCTTAATGAACCCAGAATCATGGAACATGGGAAGGACGCAGAAGTGGCTGCAAAAATACTTAAGCCGGCTGCAATGACAAAGGGCATTCTTGGACAAATTATTCAAAATAAATATTTTACACCTTTAAGTAAGATCCGTGAACTCACACAAAGTCACCAATTCATTCTTTTCCCTACTATTCATAGGAGAGAGCAAGCTAGAAGGAAAGAAGTTCTTGGTCCTCCTTGCTTTTTAACATTAAGCCACTGAAGCTAAATCCTACAAGAATGACCAAAATGGAAATTATCACCCTCCACCTACTCATAAAAAAGGCACAGCACTGACAGTGATAATACAGCCTTTCCCGCCCTACCCTGCCATTTGCTTCCACCCTGTCCCCAAAGGACCTCCTCTCAGCGGTAGAGGATATTTCAGTCTTTGGCCAGTTTGCTAAAGAGACCAATAAGATGCTGTAATATAACGTCAGATAACTTTGGAATTCACATCCCCACTTGCTCTTAAATATCCCAAATCTGTAGATACTCCAGGCAAAGCCAATATTTTTAAGCAGGCATTTTGGAAGGACTGAGGTAGCCAGTAGCTCTGCCCACCTCCACTACAACCATTCTTTTTGGCTGACGTAGTTAAATGCTGGGTGATTAGGTCCGGTTTTGTTTTACTATAGCCTTATTGATTAGGAATCAATTTTTAATTGATGACTAAGGTGGCTAGAACTTTAGAGAAACACGCTTTTAGGAGTATTATTATTTTATTTATTTCATTTTAACCACAAGTTAATTACAGAATAGTATTTTGGAAAAACCCACTTAGATCTTCATTGAATAAAACAAGCAGTCCAACCATCTGTTTAGGGGGTTATGATCAGATTGGACCTCGAGTTCAGAATTCATTCTGGAACATCACTGAACAGATAAACATTTCAGATGCTAGACTGAATACTGATTTTAATGAAAAACTACATTTTCTACTTTAGATTTAAATCTGACATGGGTAACAAGTGAAATGAGTTTACAGGTCAAAAACTAGTACACAGTGAGCATTTAAACAAATCATAAAGTGAGTAGAAATTTTGATTCAACTGACGGTTTATTCTCAGGACATGCTAAAATCTGAAATAATAGAAAAGAATCACTATGGATTTACAATGGCAGATCTATGCAATGAAACTTACATCGCATCTATCTGCATTGTGTCTATGCAGAGCCAGCGTTGCTAGTCTGTAGTGTTCGGTGACAGCAAGAAAATTCACCAAAAAGCTTTTAATTTTTATAAAAATTTACATTGTGGATTTCCCCCCAGCCATGGTGAGAACTTCTTTTCATTCCAAATCCCCTGCCAAGTTCTTTTCACGAAAGCACCACTAGAAACAACCCAGTCATTACAAACCTTCTTCAATCAAATAGACTTCAGTTGTTTAACAAGGAGTAGAACAAAACAACAACAACAAAAGATCTCCTGGGTCTTTCATGGAATAAAGAAATACTGGTAAGAACTTTGTTCCCTCCTCTTTAAAGAGCCTCTTTTTAAAAGCAGTTTAGACTCAAGGTGCACTTTAAAAAAAAAAGGGGGGGAAATGTCACCATGTGCTGACATTTGTCTATCAACTTTTTCTTCTTCCTCCTCCTCCAAAAAAAAATTAAAAATGGGAATTGTATTTTTCCCCACTCTGTTGAAAAATATGAAAAGTTTGGGTTAAATATCTGAAATTGTAATACATTTCAAAATAAAGAACTGACTTCCTACATGTTATCCTTATTCAAAGGATGGAAAAATGCATCTGTGTTTATCAGATTCAGATCTGTCAATAGGGGCTTACCAGTATCTGAGACAGTTTGATTCTTAATAGGGATAATGGACCTTCAGATGGCCCATCCACAAGTATGCAAATCTGTTATTTTTTATAGTGTCTACTCAGGCAAGTTGATTCAGAGAAAGTCACAATGGCAAAACAAACAGCTATTGGTGTGCAGAAATTACTGCCTACCATGCTGACCAGTACTGCCTCTTGTTTAATTGTACTTCCTTGTTTGTGTATATCCACCTGTTGTCTTCCGTCTTAGACCTAAATTGTAAGCTCCCTGGGGCAGGGACTGTCTTTTTGTTCTGTGTTTGTACAGCACCTAGCACAATGGGGTCCTGATCCATAATTAGGGCTCCTCAGTGCTATAGTAATACAAATAAACAAACAATAATTTCAACAGGTGATAGATGTACTTCAGATGGACAGAACATGTGGTCAATGTATAGGAGAGTAGTACTTCAAGCTTTGGCAACTGGTTGTTTAAGCTCTCCTCCCCTACCCTAATGATAAGCGTTGGTATTGAGTCACTGTGCACTGCTGCTGTCCTCCTCCATTTGAAGCATGCACAGCCTAATTCACCAGAAAGCTTGAGATACAGAAAACCTCAGCCCCACAATCATATCCACAATTGAATAGGTATAGGTATACCCTAGTTAATACTGAAATACAATGGTTATACTGAAAAGCATATGAACCACAGAGACGTAATCTAGTCAAGTGAATAAAATGAACTGGCATTTTCATTTACTGCATCCTAAAGCAGGTTATAGAGCCATGAATTACATAGCTGGAGAGGAATAACCATATGCATGCAAAAAAAGGGTCTATAATGCAACATCTGTTTCCAAGGTAGTGAAACTATCATACTTTTAGTAGCAGCAGTATCAGCTCTGAATCAATTTAAAACAAACCTTCCACCCCTCCACTACAGCAAAAAAGGAGACAAAATATTACTTCAAGAAAACAGTCATGGGATAAGAGGGAAAGTCTGCTCATGGATCAGTAACTGGTTAAAAGATAGGAAACAAAGGGTAGGAATAAAAGGTCAGTTTTCACAGTTGAGAGAGGTAAACAACAGGGTTCCCCAAGGATCTGTACTGGGACCAGTGCTCTTCAACATAATCATAAATGATGTGGGAAAAGGGATAAACAGTGAGGTGCCAAAGTTTGCAGACCATACAAAATTACTGAAGACAGTTAGATCCGAAGATGACTGTGAAAAATTACAAAGGGATCTCACAAAACTAGATAACTGGACAACAAATTGGCAGATGAAATTCAATGTTGATAAATGCAAAGTAATGCACACTGGAAAATGTAATCCCAACTACACAGACAAAATGATGGGGTCTAAATTAACTGTTACCACTCAAGAACGAGATCTTGGAGTCATTGTGGATAGTTGTCTGAAAACATCCAGTCTGTGGCTGTGAACAGCTCTGAGTTACCGAGTGTTTTTTCTCTGATGGAACTGACACTATTTGTCATGAAACTGTCATCTGACGTTCTTCTCATCTGGGGCCTTTGACACATTCAGCCGATGTCAAACAGCTTGGTTTGGCATGCAAGTGGTCAGCTTAGGGCTAGTGGTTGCTGAACTGCGCAGACTAATCAAATTCCAGCATTTCCAGTTTGAGTGAGTGATATCTAGATTCTGAGTCATCTCGTCCCATCATGCCCATCTAGTAGCACCCAGTAACTCAATTAGATGGGTCAGTTACATTTGGATCACCAGAGGATTCATATTGAACGGAGAAGTTGAGCATATTTAGCATCAAGGCACAGTGTGTAGACTAGATTATGGCCATGCTTAATGGATGCGTAGGCAGCTTTGAAGATGGCTTCTCAGAAATGACTGAAAGCTACATCGACGGGGAAGATGCGCGATGGTACAGAGACAAGACCTTATTCTAAAGCATCTGTGTACTTCTTCCAGTCTGCATTTCTGAAATTCCATCTTGGTTTGTTAAAGATTCTAATGATTGGGAGCTGTAGGCCAATGTGAATAATAGAAGGTCTGTGTTGGTTGTGTGGGAATCTTCCAAGACCAGACATAATGCAGGTTGGGAGTGACCATCCACAGATAACACCCAGCACAAATCAGGAGAGTATTCACAAGATCATCTGGCTTAGCAGAAAGTGCCTCTCTGCTTTGCATCATGGAGGAGGGCAAGATCATTGTTAGATGCCCACTCCACCAGTTGGTCCCCATTAGCATCTGATGCCCCAAGTATCCCCAGTCAGGATGGTGACTGTTGAAGTCAGCAACATAGACTGCTGCGTGAGATAGTCTTGACAGAACTTTCTGGTCCCAATTAAAATACGGTGGCTTGTCAACATTTGTGATCTGGAAACTTTCCACCCGAGTCACAGAAACTAGTAGATGTAAGCTCAGTGGCATCTGAGATGTTTGAACAGATCAGCAATGGATCAGCATCTGACCTCTGTGGCAATGGATCAACATTCTTATTGCTCTCCCTGTGAATACTCAGTTCATACTTGGGAAACTGATGACCTAACCAGCAGACCACACTGAAAGTCCTTTCTAGGGCTGAATTTCGATCACTTGCCAGATGACATTCTTGATGCAATTCCTTCCTCCAACATTTGACCCATCAGGCTAGCCCTGAGTACTGCAACTCAACATTGCAGGATTGTCAGTAGCCAAATGCAGCAGCAGCAGTGATTTATCCTGTTGTCACAACAATGACATCATCTGCCTGCACGAGATGCACACTTCCACTGCAGAAACTGGGACTAGACAGCTGGGGATGGATCACTTGATAGCTGCCCTATTTTGTTCATTCCCTCTCAAGCATCTGGCACCAGCCACTATTAGAAGATACGATACTGGGATAGATGGACCATTTGTCTGACCCAGCATGACCATTCTTAGTTCT